AGCATAAACCACCATGCCTTGCTGAAATTTAAATTGTTTTGTTCTGTTGAGACAAGATCTCCCTGTAGCCCCTGGCCTGAAACTCACTATGTAGACCAAGCTGGCCTCAAACCCACTGAGACCTACTGCCTCTGCCTTTAGAGTGCTGAGATTAAAGGCACATGCCACCACACTCAGCTAAAATTTAAGAAATATGCTTATGTATGTGTCTGTGTGCAGGTTTGTACTTGTGAGTGCAGTGCCTATGGAGACCAGAAGATGGACCTGGATCTCTCTTGGAGCTGCAGTTACAGGCAATAATGAGCCAAAACAGAGCAAGTCCAGTACACTACAGAGTCATCTTTCCAGCACCAAGACCCCCCCTTAAAAACAAAAACCAGGGGCTGGAGAGATGGTTTAGCAGTTAAGAACACTGGCTGCTCTTAGGTACCTGCAAGCATAACACTCATACACATAAAAATAAAAATAAGAAAAAAAACCCCAAAACAAAAATCAAGCATCATGGCCATCTAAAGAAAAGATCTTCACTTTGAACATCAAACGCCAAGTAGAAGGAAACGTAGAGCTGGCCTCCAACTCACTGTAATTGAGGATTGCTTTGAATCCCTCTGCCTCCATTTCTCAAGTGGTAGAATTAGGATTATAAGCGTGTACCAGCATGCCTGGCTTCAAATGTAAAACTTGGAGAAGCATATTTATTTGAGAAGGAGCACAAAACAAAGTCGTAACTTACAACAAAGGAATATGAGAATACCGCAAGCCCAAGAACTTTTCCTAAAAAAGCTTTCTTCCTTTTTGGTTATGGATTTTATTTTATTTATGTGTATGCGTATGCATCTCTGTGTATGTATGCCATGTGTGGGTAGATGCCTGAGGAGGTCAGAAGAGGGTGTTAGATTCCCTGGAGCTGGAGTTATAGGTGGGCTGATGTGGGCCCCAGAAAGTTTTTTCTTTTCTTTTTCCTTCTCTCTTCCTCTTCCTCCCTCTTTCTCTCCCCCTCCTTTATCTTTTCGAGACAGTCTCCCTGTAGCCCCAGCTGACCTGAAACTCACTATGTAGACCAGGTTGGCCTCAATCTCATAGAGATCTGCCTGCTTCTGTCTCCTGAGGGATTAAAGGCATGCACCACTGTGCCTTATTATGCTGTGGCTCATGCTTCTAATCCCAGAACTCAGTAGGCTGAGGCAGGATACATACTGCTAATGTGAGGCCAGCATGGGCTACAGAATGAAACCTTGTCTAAACTAAATAACAACAAAAGAACTTTCTTACAGCTCAGTAGAAGCTACCTAAATATAAATCTATTTTTAAAGCACTTACACTAATATTGTTAATGTGCAGATTGTTGCAGTTCAGTAGTTTCCTGCTGAATGACTAAGTTTCTTTTATTTAAGATTTCTTCTTAATATTTTCATCATAAAAAATAGTAACTGTGGCATTGGTTATGTTAGTCTGTGGTCATCATTACACAATGTAAATATATCAAAAGACCACATCAAACAATAAATATTTGTAAATTTTGTATTTTGCTTAACCATGTTTCTACTAAAAATTCTGATCACTTTTTTTTCTTTAAGGTCTAATCAGTTTTTAAAAAGGAAAAAACCCACAGGATCTCATTATATAGCCCTGAATACTTTTATATATTAATATTTCTAGAATCTTCCTAAATTACCAATGATACAGTCTGTAAATTTATTTCTTACACTATATAGACTTGATATTACTTCATTATCTTTGTACATTTTTTACTGTAGGAAATTGCCGATAAAGATGGAAACAATAAAGTGCTATCTTTCACTATCCCTTCTTTATCCAAGCCTTCAATATACCATGAGGTAAGTAATGTTGGAAAGGTGGAATTGCTTAAAATTATATTGAGAAGGAGTTTTAAAAAGTCATTTTTTTCCAGACGTAAATACTCTCAATACTTTTTTGTTTTTGTTTCTGTTTTTAAGACATGGTCTTATGTAGCCCAGGCTGGCCTCACACTCACTTTGTAGTTTAAGGATGACCTTGAACTCCTGATCTTGTCACTACTTTCCCAGTGTTAGAATTATAGGTATACACCACCTTACAGGGGCCCTAATACATACTCTTTTTTAAAATTTTTATTTATTGATTTATTTTGAGACAGGGTCTCCCTGTAGCTCCAGCTAGCCTGGAACTCGCTATTAGACCAAGTTGGCCTCAAACTCATAGAGATCCACCTGCCTCTGCCTCCCCTCCTGAGTACTGGGATTAAAGGCATGTGCCACCACCCTGGCTATTATTATTTATATTTTTTATGTGTATTATTTATTGCCTGCATGTATGGAAGTAAATTTGTGTCATCCATTGCCCTCAGAGGTGAGAAGAGGGTGTCAGATCCCCTGGAACTGGAGTTACTGATGGTTATTAGCTGCCATGTGGGTGCTGGGATTTGAAACCCGGGTCTTTACAAGAACAACCAGTGCTCTTAACCACTGTGCCATCTCTCAAGCCCCCATAGTCTTAAAAATAGATGTTTGATTCATTTTTATTATTCTTAAGAAAATGACTTTTTAGAACATTAATACTCTATTGTATTTCAGTATAAAGGAATCTGATTGACTCATACTAGCTGTTCAATAACATACTTGATTTGCTTATGTTTATTTGGTTGAAAAATGTAAGAACATTCATAATTATATAAGTAAATGTTGCCTAAATCTTGTTTCTGCTTTCTTCAAGTAAAATCCAATGAAGAAATGTGTTATGAATAAAGTTTGTGGTCTGTAGTGGTCTTTAATGCATAAGTTTACAGAGAAAGCACTTAAATTTATTCTAAAAATTATGTTTCATTTTCAATGCACAGTATTCTGTTTAATTAATAGTTCAATGCAACTATTAATTTTATTCATTCTCCTAGGACTTTCTTTTGTGTTGGAAATAGTGTGTCTCCAATTTAACCAGGACTCGATTTAGCATAGATTAATTCTGAATAATACAACAGATTTTAATTAAGTTCTTTGTATTATGTAATGAAATGAAGTGGATGATGATACTGAAACATTAATGAGTAGATGGTTCTTCTAACTTAGAAAACATGAAATCAGTTGCGTAAGTATTAAAAGAGACTTTTGGTCACACTCTTCAATAGTGTTTTATATAATTCTAAATAGTTGTGTTTTGGAATACAAACAAATGTAAATGTGTTTATTTTAAACTTAAGTGTTTACAGAAGATTTCTTTACTCTTTCCTAAGTATAGAATCATTCCATATCTTTCAAAAATGAAGTGATGGGCTGGGCGTTGTGGCACATGCCTTTAGTCTTAGTACTCAGAGGCAGAGGCAGGTGGATCTCTGTGACAGGCCCAGTCTGGTCTACACAGTGAGTTCCAAGCCAACAGGGCTATATAGTGAGACACTGTCTCAAAAAGACAAAATAAAGGCATGGTGGCACACGCCTTTAATTCCAGCACTCAGGAGGCAGAGGCAGGCAGATCTCTGAGTTTGAGGCTCACCCGATCTACATAGTGAGTTCCAGACCAGTTTGGGCTATAGGGAGACCCTGTCTCAAAAAGTCCAAAAATAAATAAATAAATGAATAGGTATATCTTACATATATAATTTCCAAAAGAAGGTGTAGAATGATACTGAACAGAAAACGTTTTTAATTTTTTCATTAAATTTTGAGATTTTTATACAGTATAATTTGATGATATTTAGATCCCCTCCCTCATCTGCGCCTCCCTCCACTACTCCCTGCTGAATTCAGTGTACTCCATTATATATACAGAAAAATATGGAATACTTATAAATTTCTGTGTTGTCCTTGCACAGGGCCATGCTAATTTTCTCTGTAATAACAGAACCTTTGGGGGCTGGAGAGATGGCTCAGAAGTTAAGAGCACTGACTGCTCTTATAGAGGACCCAGCTTCAATTCCCAGCACCCAGATGGTAGCTAACAGCTGTCAGCTGTCCATAACTCCAGTTCCAGGGGAGTCTGACGCCTTCTTCTGACCCTCAACCATTGCACGACACAGGTACACTTACACACATGTATGCAATACACTCATACACATAAAATAAAAATAAATGAGATTTTTTTTTAAAGAGCAGAACCTTTTTAGAATTTTTGTTCTTATTGAATTTTTATATATTTCATATGGAATATCTCAATCTCAATCATCTTTTTTTTTTTTTTTTTTTTTTTTTGGTCTTTTTGAGACAGGGTCTCCCTGTAGCCCCAGCTGTCCTGGAATTCACTATGTAGACCAGGCTGGCCTTGAACTCACAGAGATCCGACTCCCTCTGCCTCCTGAGTGCTGGGATTAAAGGCGTGCGCCACCACATCCAGCTTTATACCCCCTTCCCCACTGGCATCCTCCCATAGCCCACACACACACTGGAATTTAGACATTCAGTTTTGTTAAGGCCTATTGTATCAAGTTAGTGTCCCCATATGTTCCTCAGTGCAAGTTCATCTACTGAAGTCTAGTCAGCTTATCTAGAATCGGTCAGTTTAGGAATATCAGCTCTTACTCACCTAATAGTAATCAGTTGCCAGTATTTCTTCAGCTAAAATTGTGATCTGTTGTCCATTTCCCTAGTTCTATGCTGGGCTTTTGTCTGCTTGAGTTTACATGAGACTTGTGTATGCTGACAATGGAATCTTTACACCTATGGCTCATGGAACATAGTGGAACCAGGGGTAAAGAAAATACTAATGCATCTCTCAATTCTTACTAATGAAGCTCCTTCATGCAACAGAGGGCCAGAAACACAAAATGTCACAAATGGCCAAAGCATAGACATTAAGAGTCTGCAGAATGCTGGTCCTTGGACAGAACTCCTATATTAAACTTCACCCACCCAGGGCTCTGGGAGCATTTTGGAAGATGGGGGCAGAAAGATTGTAAGAGCCAAGGAGGAGGTATACAACCATATGGAAATAGTGGCCTACAATTTCCTGGGACCCTGTTCATATGAATCTACAGCAATGGTGTTAGCATACATAAGACCAGAACCTTTTTAAGAGAAAAATTATTTCAAACTACATTTTTTTTTGGTCTTTTTGGTTTTGTTTTGTTTTGAAACAGGGTCTCCCTGTAGCCCCAGCTGTCCTGGAACTCATTATGTAGACCAGGCTGGCCTTGAACTCACAGAGATCCGCCTGCCTCTGCCTCCCAAGTGCTGGGATTAAAGGCGTGTACCACCATGTCCGGCTCAAACTACATTTTATTTAAACAAAATTAAATATGATTACATGACACAGATATTTACTTCATTTTGGGGACATTGTCCCATGCTCTACCTTATTTTTTGCAGCCCTCAACAATTGGATCCATGGCTCTGACGGAAGGGGCATTGTGTCAACATGATCTCATCAGAGTTGTTTATAGTGATCTTCATCCTCAGAGAGAAACATTTACTGCACAAAACCGGTAATGGTCGAAACTACACAACAGTTTTGAATTTATGCTCAATAGCTAATTACATCCATTCTAGTTGGATATAAGGAGTCCAAAATTTAAATACATCATACTGGTAAAACATACACAGATCACGCATCCCTGATCTGAAAAATCACAAATCTAAAATATTCCAGAAGCTTAAATCTTTTTTAAAATATTTTTTTTTTTCTGTGTGTTATGCCTGCATGTAGGTAAGTGCACCCATGTCATGCAATGCCCGAGGAAGTCAGAAGAGGCTGTCGGATCCCCTGGAGTTACGGACAGTTGTTAGCTGCCATGTGGGTGCTGGGATTCGAACCCGGGTCTTCTGCAAGAACAGTCAGTGTTCTTAACTGCTGAACCATCTCTTCAGCCCCAGAAGCTGAAATTTTGGGGGCACCATCATGACATCGCCAGTGAAAAAAAATCATACCCAACCTTGTGTGATTGGGACACAAGCAAAATTCAAGTACAATTAAAATATTTAAAATTACCTTCAGGCTATATGTATTTAATACACGTAAAAACATAAATGAATTTCTGCTTTAGATTTGGACCCTAATATCTTAAGATATCTTCTTATATATTTGTACACATTCCAAAATTTTTTAAAAAGTCCAAAATTGGAAACATTCCTGGTCCCAGGCATTTTGGATAAGAACTACTCAACTTACAGTGAAATATCATCCATCTGCTTAATATTGATCCATTCCGGCATCATGCTGTGCTCATCCTGTATAAAGCAGTAGAAAAAGTAAAAGTCAGTATGGAGTCAGCTAAACTGAGATTTCATGTTTTATACTACAATTTAGAATTTTGCCTCATCAGGCAGTTTACTCTGTATGCCTTTTTTTAAAAAATTGTAGAATGGGATTAATACCCATTCTACCCTAATAGACGTTGTATAAAAGTTAAGGGTACAGTCCCAAGATAGCAACTATAATCACTTGGGGGGGGGCATAAAACTAGGGGTGATTCCCCAGAACACCAGCTTGTTTAATAATCTGTTGGTACTTTTAGTACTCACTGAAAAATGTTTTATTTGGTTTTGGTTTATTATAGGAAATTGATAGAGATTAAAATAAATCTAAGCAGGGCTTGGTGATACACATCTATAATTCTGGCACTTGGGAAACTAAGATATTTAAGATTGTGAGTTTGAGGCTTGAATTACATACAAGCTCAAGGCCAGTCTGTACATTATGAGAAGCTGTCTCAGAAAACAGAAAATGAAAGACCAGAGGAGGGCTAGAGTTGTAGGTCAGTGGTAGAATACTTGCCTATCATGGTTGAAACCCTTTGTTCAATCCACAGCACAGGGGGTTAGGGGGTGATAGCTGAAAAACAGCCATTAGAAGAAATTAATATGGTAAAGTAATGATAGGAGGATTCCAAACACAAAGCTCCCCGCTCCACCTCCCCGCCAGCCTTTCCAATGATGTCAGGATATATTACTCTTCCAAGCCTCAATGTATAACATGAACATTGCTCTGTAAAGAAACTCTCCAAAGCTTTGGTTTCCAGATTTTTACTATTTTTAAAAAACATACTATTTTTATTTTATGTGAATGACTGTATTGCTTCCATGTATGTAAGTGCTCCTGTGTCATGGAATGCCCTCTGAGGTCAGAAGAGTGTTGCTGCAACTGCTGGAACTGGAGTTATGGATGGTTGTTAACTGCCTTGTAGGTGCTGGAAACCAAACCTGGGTTCTCTGCAAGAAGAACACATACTCTTAACCTCTGAGCCATCTCTCCAGCCCTATATATTTATTTTGAGGCTTCATTATGTGAGCATGAATGATTAGATTAGTTGCCTGCATGGTTGATCTCAGCCTCCAGATTAACTGACAGTGTGACCTGGAGTTGCAGCCTCACTATTTTGCTTTTGTTTATGATAATACTAGCCCTTATCAGTCAGATTTAGCATAGTGTAGATTACTTCCTAGAAGCTAAGGCTAGACTTCTCCTTTGTGCAAGGCCAAATTGTTATGGGGTGCTTCACCAGAGAAGACCACTCAAAGTTTTCCCAAATGAAAGTCGTTACTGGCCAGTTACTACACAAGGGTGTTGGATTAAGAGTATAGCACTGAGCCATCTCTAGGGCAAGCTTTTATACAGAGAAACCATAACCAGGGGTGAAAAGCTTAAGTTTCCAAGCATAGAGTCCCCTTAACAATTTCTATTCTTTTAAGCAACAATTACTATTTTGCAGAAGCAAGCCAAGCATAACCTACAGAAGCCATAAGTCTGCAGTTAGCGGGCTCACTTTGGGATACTCTGACCTGTTTCCAAGACAACCAGGGTCCAGCTGGTTGATAATTTCAGAGACTAGAGTCAGCTAAACTTTAACATGGCGTAGCTGTGGTCAAGAAGGTGCCCTATTACAAAGTTACTTACTACAAAGGCTCTCCCCTGGTCTTTGGCCAAAGCTCTCTTGAGCAAAAACAAATGTGTTCATCTGGCATTTAAATTAAGTAGAGTATTTATAAGAGCTGTTATCAATATGCCTAACATCTGAGGGAGCCAGTACAGGTAAGGATAGATTTAAGCAACTAGCTTTTTTTTTTATAAAACGACTGCATGAGTTCTAATATTTTTGTGCAAATTTGATCTTTTTTCTATCCCATTCTTTGATATACATTGTGTTAAACTTATACACAACAGTTTGACATAGATGCTAGTAGATGGTTAGCAAAATCATTTTTCAGTAATAATCCCCTCTGAAGAGGTTTTAACTCAAAAGATTAGTATTACATAACCAGGCACAGTGGCATACAACTGTATTTACAACACTTGGAAGTTGTAGATAGGAGGATCAAGAATGAAGGCCAACCTCAGCCTACATAGCAAGTTTGAAACCAGCCTGGGTTACATGATACCCTGTCACAAACAAGCGAAGATTGGTATTACAAGAGCTGAGGTTGTAATTCAGGGACAGAGCACTTGCCTAGCATATCCAAGGCACTATGCTCTAATACCAGTACTGAAAAGCAAAAGTAGTATTACATTACCAGAGGGCTCCATGACACAGTTTCCATGATGTCATCATCCATGATGGGATGGGACTTTGCAGTGATACAGCTGCTGTTCAGGGGGTCACTCTTATAAGGTAACATTCTACCCGTGCTCTGTAAAATGACCCAATAAACTCATTGATTCACACACAAAAAAATTACCAACAATGCCAGTGTTAATAGCATGTCACATGATAGAAGTAGATGTAACCTTTTAGAAGGGGCATTTATAATATAGTTGGTCCATTGTATCTATGGAAGCCTGCATATACAGAAGTAGCTTGAACCAACTACAGATGGAAGGTATTTGAAAAAAACTTCATCTGTGCTAAAAATATACAGACATTTTCTATAATTATTGCCTAAACAACTATTTGTATAATATTTTATTGTGTGAGGTATTAAAAGTAGTCAGATGATTTGAAAGTGTAGATGTGGCCAGGTGTGTGGTGGCGCATGCCTTTAATCCCAGCACTTGGGAGGCAGAGACAGATGGAGCTTTGTGAATTTGAGGCCAGCCTGGTCTACATAGTGAATTCCAGGACAGCTGGGGCTACAGGGAGACCCTGTCTCAAAAAGACAAAAAAAAAAAAAAATGTGTAGATGTGGCTATGCATAGGCATTGTGCAAACACTAGATCATTTTATATAAGGAACTTGAGCATCTGTGACTTTTGATATCCCTGGGAGTCCTAGAACCAATCCTTCTCAGATGCTGAGGAGTAGTTATGTACTAGGCAAGGGGAAGCATTCTCCAGACACAGTATGCATTCTTGTAATGCGTCAGATAAGAAGGCACAATAACTTCACAAAATCTGTACAACCTATCTTAATCTCTATCATTTTCTATACCCTTTCAATCTAGTTATATAGTTTTAGAATATACCAAGATCCTGTGTTATCAGCCTTCCACCCCCACCCCCCATCCTACCTCAGACAAAGATACTCCTGTCAGGTATGAAATAGATTACCTCTCAGAAGCAATGGATTGAGCCCAGATCTCTTTTTAGGCTAGGCCAAATTTAATTAGTTTTGTATGTGTATGTGTGAGTATGCAAGCGCACATGTGCCATGGTATAGGTATGGAGATCAGGAGACACTCCTGGGGGTTGATTCTCTCCTGCTTCTTGTAGGATCTAGGAATTGAACTCAGGTCATCAGGCCTATGCCCAAGCCTTTCTACCTATTGAGCCATCTCACAAACCCTAGGCCACATTCTTTACAGTATCCTATGTGAGTGTTGTGAGGAATAAACAAGATAATGCCCAAAAGGTGCTTAACACAGTGTTCAACACATACGTTCGCTGATATTATTATTCATTATGTAATTTGTATTCATAGTGTAATAGAGCTGTTATTGTTTATATAATACTAATTATGGTATGAGCATAGGATCAGACAAATTTCCATAGTCATTGATGGAAGCACTTTGATGAAGTACTTCAGTCTCGAATTCTAGGGATTCTTTTTTTTTTCCTTCCCAAAGAAGAAGCATTTCATTATAGGATTTTCCACCATTTGTGGAAAGTAAAAGATTAAGAATCGAATTCTAGGGATTCTTAGTCTTTTACTTTCCACAAATGGTAGAAAATCCTGTGGTTTTCCTTTTGCTCAGACACATTGCTTTAGAATTCAGCATGGTTATTGTTATTGGACAGCACGTGCTTTTTAACATTAGAAGGCCTTATTCCAACTTAAGTAGCAATCTCTACTAATACTAAGTAGGTTTACTCAAATCCTTCCACAATATAAATAGTGGTTCAGGGCTGGGAATATAGCTCAATGGTAGATCTCTTGCCTAGCATGTGTAAGTATTTCCTCCCCCAACTCCAGCCCCCTCAAAAAAGAATCAAGGATCATCAGTAGAGTCTGAAGGGGTAGCTTGTAACAAAACTCATCTGGTTACTTGGTTCCCTTTTTTTATTTGTTTTATTGTTTTGTTTGTCTTTTTGAGACAATGTCTCCCTGTAGCCCCA